ATTTCATCTAGTTCTCTCATCCCTGTTGACCAATTTTCCCATGCGAATTCATCTGTTCGCTCGACTGGCTGGTCTCGACCGAGTTTATCCCTACACAGTTTACGCAGTAGAAAGTTTGTGGGCACGGCGCTAGGAGCAACCAACCCAAAGGGGCCGTATAAGGAGGAGAATACAAGTAGCATTGATCGCCTCGTTCTCGGCCCAACTTTCACATCGAATCGGAATAGAGAGGTGTCATACATAGCCTACCGTTTTACACCTAACGTACTATGTAGCAGTTTGACTAATCTGAGGAGTCCAATCGAGTTAAAAAGTCCAGTAGACGACGCCGTTTTGAACACTTTAGCGCTGTTGGAGGCTCAGTTTCAAAGCTTAAATCATACTTATCAAACAGTTCTTGACAACAAGATGGACTGATTCAGGTATAAGATGTCAACGAAATCAAACAGTCGTCAATGTAGAAGCAATTTATGTCGGCAACTGAAACACTCCCGAAAAATCGACCCCCCAACTACTACGCTATCTGATGTGAGGCGAAACAAGCACAGAACGTAAGGAACGCAAGGCGCCCCGATAATTCTATGGAATCTTCACCTGCATGAACACCTCCCCAATGTCCGCAACTACTGCGATTCTCATTTGTCAACCGGATGAGAACTCCTTGTAACAGCGAATCGTTCGGAGAGAGGCTGTTGTATTTTGCACCACAACCAGAAACAGCCATCATCTAATAAGGTATTTTTGGGGTTTATCACAGCGTGATAAATACCAGCTGGGAGCATAACTACGCTTCAAGTGGTTTGCTGCGACGAGCACAACATGACCACTACTATTAGTTGCTGGAAAACATCCGCGTAGCTGACACAGAGAAATTGGTTAGGTCTCAGACGTTTTCGCAAACTTGGTAACTGCTGCAATACCATCTTACCATTATTTGACATTCAGACCTGCGAGTTTCACCAAGGAAGTAAGTCGTCAGCTGTACTCCGTAACGGCGCTTCCCTGCCGAGCGACCACCATCAGTCGCGCGCGGACTCAGTATACCGCGAGGACGCCCTCCCCTACGCGGGTTAACACCAGCGACCTTATGATTACAAGCCAGGTGTGCAACCTATTTGGCCACCGGCCGACTCACCAAGGAATACCACTCTCAAAATAACCACGTAAAAATGTACTGTGTTCTACGAAATGGACAGTGCAGCTTTGTCTTTCACTGTAGGTTCATGATCTCCTGATACTAACGGAGCAAAGTCACTGTTGTACAAACTATCTAGTTAATCTTCAACAGGCAGTTGGTTGATTAGGGAGTAAGGCACGTACTTGTTGACCGAGTTGCACTCTCCGACTGGCCCAAGCAACGTCCAGCCTAGCAAGGGTTTTACAGCAAGAGATTAAATCCTGAGACCTATCGTTTCCCCAAAAGACACTGTGCCTCGGGCACATTGGCCTCTAAGAGGATCCGGACATGACTGTTGTTAATTTCTTTAAAGGACACATCAATCATATGTGGTCACTGGCTCGCCAACTTCTTTACTGGGGTTGCAGCGGGTTTCAAAGGTTGATTTGCTAAACAGTAGGCATGCCCAACAGAAATCGAATTTGTGCCATCCATTGATGACATTATGAAGTCGGCACACCCAGCTTCAGTTGGAACGAACCCGGTATCGTTGTGAATTCAAAACAAGTCGGTTTTGCTCCGATGACGGCTTATTTCCAAAAGGCATTCCTGTAGGAAATTAGTAGTTGGACCATTACCTAACAAGGCGTAGGTCTCAAAGCCAACACACGTTCTACGCATACTGGCTACACTTAATAGCACACTTGCTGCTGTGCACTGGAGGTAACAGCGCAACTGTCTTGCTTGGTAGGAAAAGCAATATGCAAGGGCTCTGAGTGGAGCAGTAGATGATGTCGCGCTCTACAGACGGGCACCCTGTATCCATCGCTGTTTTGATAGTTGAGAGATCGATGATTTGGTTTTAGACCCTTGTAGCGTCCTCCTTTGGATTTTATGTGGTTCTCCTTGCTAGAAACATCTGAAGCCAGAAAACTCCGGCACTGGGCTGTTACATGTCCACTACCACAGGTCAAACATACTGGTCTCGGGGAATCACTTGAACGGCTATAGAGAAGACGGTTACGGTCTTTCTGTCTATCAAATGCTCATGGTGCTTTTGTCGCGGAAGGTTGTCGGAACGAAATTGAGGAGGAAATCTGGCCGAATCTACTTCGCTCATCTCGAGTCTCCACTACAACAAAATCCGTCAAATGTTTGAAGTCAACACTCTTCCAGCAAGAATGATGAAATGGCTACACTTGCTCTTCTGGAGTGCAGGCTGCTTGGTAGTATGCGAACTACACTCCCAAGGATGGTAATGTATTTGTAATCAGTTGTGATACTCATCCGTGTTAGTGCCATTTAGCAATTTTATATTTTCAGTAATAACACACGCACACAGAGGGTACTTAAGCCAATCATGATACCGTCAATTAGAGATCTAGCGGCTACATATCTTTGACCATAAATCGCCGAAGAACACTTCTTGCTGTGTCCCACGCCTCGGCAGGAAGCAATATCACGCGCTGGCTGATGGCTTCCTTGACGTGACCACGGCGATTATAAAACAAATGATGTAACCTATCCATTGTTGTTCACCCGGTTTTGATACATTATTTAAACTACTTAACGAATGTTTAAGTAACATCGGGATTACCACTAAAAATCCAACTTGACAGAGAGCAAGTCTGCTTGTTGACGATAATCACGAAAATTTCGGAAGATTTCAGACCGGTCACTTCAATCACCGACCTGTGGCAGTCTTCAACAAAACCAATTCATCCGTACATTTCTAACTACTGATAATCGACTAAAACCAGAAGGCGTTCATGAACCACAACCTGATCTAATTTATAAAGTAATTTAGCTACCTTTGCTTCAGTTAGCACTTGCGAAAAGCATTTCATCTTTTCTAGCTTCTTCTCGGCTAATAACTGCTTCTCCTATAACTGCTAACTTAAACGTCACTAGAACCCACATCTACTCTTACCGCTAGCATGTGAGCCTGAACGTGGAACACCATTATCCATTTTTAGGCACCTCTGATTACAGTTAATAATTAAACTCATTAGTTGGTGAAGGTCGCACCTGCCGCTATACCATTATGCTAGGGTCATGGCCGTAACAGCTACACCTGCAAAACTCATATTGCGGAATGCCTATAAAAAGCTGCACTCGAAAACTTACCAGGTAACTTTAGCAAAGTTTTTATTCGACGGAGTTTAACAACAGTCCATAAACTCAGGTTGCGAACAAGGAATTTTTGTTGTTTTATGATGCGCTGGCATGAACCTCAGAAGGGAAACTGTCAGAAATGTGATCTATCAGTAGGCCTAACTCAGATGCCTCAAGACACATGCATCGTCATCAGTACTAACAATCAAATCGCATAACTCAGATCTCAGAGTGCGAAAGACACCCCTAATGAATTGACGGTACTCGCAATAACACAGGTATTTTGTTCACATTCGTACCTTGCATAATTCCTGGACAACAAACACAGACTTCAAACACGTGCGTTGGCATTCCGTTAGCTGGTAAACTTGAGCGGACAGCTGTCTTTGGCTCAGTCTGGCTATTTTAATGACAACAACGGGCGTTAAGTTTAATTATGATTTTACCATACGGGACAACCGGCTTCGATAATTCCCCGTACTCTCAATTCTGTGTATTAGTTGCCTGAATCTAAAGTTCATGAATAATTTACAGCAAACTGAGTGGATACGTCAACTATTTGAACTATAGGCATGAGATGAATAAAAGTTGGAATCACTCAATTTTAAGCAACTTGGCCAGGAAACATCAGACGTGCTAATGGCTAGTGGATTTCTAGATCTTTAAATAGCTAAACTGAGTACTTGGACGTGTCTGTATTTGGCAGTTAGTTACAATATTTGCCACACTGAATTAGCATCTGAGCATCAGGTGTGGAACTGATCGAAAGCATACTGAATGTTGTCCGAACACATCAGTAACACTATTTGCTATCAAGTGCTCAGCGCTTGTATTCGTCTTCATATCGAAAACGCAATCCAGTTAGGTCAGCACCGGATAAAGCACGACCGTATTATCCTAGATCAACCTCAATATCTGGCTCAAAACTATGTCATTGGAATTCACATTTCCCATACGTGCAGAAGCTAAGCGGCTGAGTTACATTCAAGATGATGCGACTTAATAACAGATTACTTCATACTGCGAAACCTTAATCATGCATGCTGGAGCACACCGGTAAAATCAAACTGCGAGGGTATTCTGTGAACCTGTCGGAATGGCTCAACCTATTTGAAGCAGCCGAAAATTCTGGTCTGTTCTTTTATAATCATTGGTACACGATCCTGGAGTAAGTCATTTCTTCATCTGCAGTAAATTTATATCAAAAACCTATAAATGCCGTACTCAGTCACCTATATTCTGACGCTCAGTAACATCGTTTCGTTCCACTTCTGGGAGAAAAAGTTCGATTTCATTGGTCCTCAATTACTTGTGATGCGGAACAACACGTAAAGTATGACTGTTGCCCCAAAGAATAAGAAGTGGGGTCTGCTTACTTACTAAGAAAAAAGATATTTCCTTTTTCATTGCAACTTGCATGGAAAACCTTCAACAGGCCACCCAACATAGATTATAAGGTACATGCTTCTTAACACATAATACACCACAGTTTTTCATAGTCCACCAAATAGGGTTACGGTTCCCTTGATGGATGAGCCGACCGAGCACACGACAAGTCGCATCAGCCGGCAATGTAGCGCTTGCATCAAGGCTGAAATGCACTCTGCTTGGCTGTCTGGAAGAAAGTTCCATGCAGATGATAAAAGTGCACAGTTCCCTCAGTTAGCATAGCTATTACAAAGTTAAAGAAGAAAGGATATGCTGATTTTCGTGTTTCGCTTCAATGTGCTTGACATTGAAACTTCACAGATAAATTATTTTTTTCTAGACGCATCCACACAAATCGAATTAAAGGAATAGAAAAGCCAGCAACTAAGGCCAATGTGACCAACTTCCGCTACTGGGAAAACCCCACGAAGGATTCTGTCCACAAAACGGACAACTCCATATGTGAGTCCTTCAAGTGTGTAATGTGATGATTCATGCATTTTGAGCTTTAAGAAGATCTATGGGCCTAGCAAGTAGAATAGTAGGGATAAGAAGAGCAATGTCACGAAGGCTCATCCAACGCCAAATGTGCATCCAGTCAGGTCGTTTTTCAGCTGCGCCCAGGATACCTGTAGCAGAGAAGCGGCATTTTCGCTCGGAAGAATTCCACTGTCACTTATCCTTCTTTCTCAAGTTTGGCACCAAGTGCACATCGCGTTCTCTGGCATCCGATATGTCGGATAACCCAGCTTATTTGTTCCGCCTAATGATGGTGGTGACGACAATAGTAATGGATAAATAATGCTTCCAGGGCAGCGCCAGTAGGCAGCCTCAAGGCAGTGGAATACTGTACACTGGAAAGCTGTTGTATATGAGGACGAATAAATGATAAGGGAATAATGAGACTTCCGGTAAAATGATTACTAGGGCCAGTGCGTCAAAACTACTATAATTTTCAGCTAGATTCTTTGCGGTTTGAGGTCAGTTACAACACGAGTATAGTTGAAATTCCCCGTAGTATTTTGCATTTCTTGGGTTCGTTCTTATGAAATTGAAGTGTAGTTATCCTCTCGATGTCGGCCGGTAGCCCAAAGGATGACGGGCCAGTCCTGGAACTCCATAGTCCTCAGTTCGGATCTGCATAGGTGCGAGGATGATCTCACATTACTCCTAACGCACGCACGACTCGTGGTGGTCGCGTGGCAACGGAGCACATATGCTGATGCTTTCCTTACTTCGCTTTATACACCGTCTATTTTCCTCTTCTCCTCTGATGAACTCAAACAAAAATTCGATATTACCATGGTAAATTGCTCTCCTCAGGGATAAAGGAACCAGCTAAGGTTTTAATCCAGTAAGGCGGACCACAGATGAATAGACATCCACGGATGTCAAGACAGTACAAAGGTTTCCTTTTGTGCCTCGTACATTTCAGCCGATCGACGAAGGCGGTGAATAAATCCCAGTTGTTGTGACACTATTTGGAGCATCTTCATGAATGGGCCACAGCACCCGTTGGAAGAAACGGGTTATCTCCGGCATACTCAGCACACTATGACCTGGTGTCATCAGGCTGCATGACACATTGTACATTTCACATATTCAACCCTAATCCACCATTGTGTGGTGTACACACAGAAGCTCATACATGTAACCAAAATGTTTCATGATATACGCTTCGAATGCAGATAACCGTTTTCTCATGTAATGTAGTGATCAGCAGGAGCCTCATAGTAGATGGTTATCGTACTGAGTGTTAGTCTGGTGTCAGCCGGTGATTTTTCCCTTTGTTATTAAGCCCAAACAGAAATGGTTTCCCAGTAGCCCACATAGGTTCTGCTAAGGAGAAGATAGGAAGTGACTTCATTCGTTTACAGATACAACAGAATGGATTTCGTTGCGAAAGTAATACCACAGTGGACGCCTAATTCCCAGAGGTTTAATTTAAGCATCTATTACACTCATAAATATATGTGTTGGTCGCTAGGCCGAATGTGAAGTCACATCTTGAACCAGACAGAACACATCCCACAAACGAACAGCGCCTAGCTTGAAAGTATGAGTGCCAAAAGCTTGCTATGATTAGTTAGGAAGTAATTAAAAACGTATAGATGCCTTACCATACAACAACGTCGGTTCATAACTATATAGTTGGCTTGAATACCGCCTGTGCACAACTTTGGTAAGCGTCAAAACAATGCATTAGACCTCACACCACACAAAGGACTGGCGGCCTGCACCGGGGGCTAGGTTGTGACTTCTTCCAGGAACAGATTGGGAAAAAATTATAGTTCCTTCTAACTAATTAAAAAGTCATTTGTTAGTGAGTGCGCCAGTTAAGTTTATACACCTAATAGGACCACAAGCTAGCAAGTATGGCAGTTTCTTTCCAACTAACCTGTAATGCAGTTCAAGTTCGACGTTTCCCATCCATACAGTCGATCTCAATTTAGAATTTGTCCATCGGCTCATGTTGTTTGATAGGACGGTTTTTAACACATAGCGTCGGTTCACCCATTTGCGCAAACTTTGTATGCGCCTGAAGATATCCAGTGTTCACCGCAACCTTGTTCGAATATAGCAGTGAATCAGTGAATCCCGTCCTCTTATCTAGACGAGACCGCATGAAGCACAGTTGTTCTGTACCATGGTCTCTAAAGCTAACGGTGTGCAAAATATAACCGAGGAGTCCGAACTCACAACCCTGCCAGCTAACACTTCACTAGCATGCATTTTAAAAACAGCAAACATAATATGTTGATGGGAGTTTAATTTACAACCCCAGCATTCGGCCTATGCTATCTCGACTCTTTCCATACAGCTGGTGAACACTCACAAGAGACCAATGCAGGCTACTCCAGAAAACCAAATGGAAATCATTTCACCAGCTAGCTGTGACTCCGTTTTGGACACATAAAAGTCTGGTATCATTCGCTTGATTTCTTTACTCTCAAATAAATGAGTATATTGCTTTCTGTTACGGTTGTTTGTCCCAATGGAAACGCACGTAATGTACTGGTCTTTCAGACCATTAATCTAGGCGGACCTGACGACATTTTGTCAAGGAAACGAGGAGCCCACAACCCTACCGTAATGGAGTACGTACAGCTGAATGAGCGAGTAGCGTGTCTATTGAATACTGAGGTTTTTGTCTAGCATATACACTATGGAGGTGACATTCAACTCAGTCTCACTGTTCAAACAAGTTGTACTTTATGTTGCAGTAGAGGGATCCTGATCAGCGGAAATTGCGACTGGTAGGTAACTGTTGTTTGACTGATAATTTTATCGTATACGGGAGTAAAGCGACAGCAAAATGAGGTATAAAGTAGACAGTTACAATGCGAACTTTGTTTACTTCGGCTTGAGGTCATACTATCAAGCTTAGCTCAAGCGAAGATTTAAGTTGTGTATGGTACCTTTAAACCATGAAATTCGATAGGTAATTTAGCGGTCAAAGGAAGTCACCTGATTGTAGCTTTTAGTATATTGGCTTAAAAGGTGTTGTTACTATACTTAGCAGAGAGCACATAAACCGGAGAAACAAAACCGCAGTGATCGTCTATTGGCAAGCAGGTAAACAGAAGTTTCCGTTGTTTGAATAAGTATTCGGCATCATGCATGTAGAGTCGTTTTCTTCGGTTAACTGCATTAGTATCCGCTCACTGGAAAGAGTGATAGCTAAATAGCACCTTTGTAGATCTGAACAAACTGCCTCAAACTTATGGCTATTGGATATCCAGCCCATAACATGGTTTGCGGCATCCGGTTTCGGATTTGCCTGTCACTGTGGTCAGCCACAGGACGCCTGCGCCTACAGAGGGACCATGGATGGCTTGCGCTGCACCACCCACAGCTCCACCCACACACCCCATATCCAGTGTAAACACGAAGGAATAAGACCTGGAGGCATGTGGATGGGAGCCACGTTTCATCAACGGAGCCGGCCCACACTCCTTCACAGGCAAACACAAGCACACTGTATTTGGGAATTAAGCGCACACAAGGCGGTGGCTGGACCGTAGTCCGCCCCACACTAACTGCATGGAACCACTCTTCGAGCCTAGCACGGCCACAAGGACCGTGCACTCCGTCCCCTCCAGCAACGACCAACTGTCTCCTGCAGCCAGTATGGACGAGGTAGTGGGTAATAGACAGGTAGGCACCTTGTCAACATGCACATCCAACGCAGCCACACCTGGGATGAAAACAACAGCCAATCATTCGAAATGCCGATGTCGAATAAAGTGGGCGCATATGACGACATAAATACTCGCTAAATGAGCATATAGAAGAAATTGGTTATAAGTGCATCCGTGATAAGTACAAAATGTCCGAAAGTTATTTCAAAAAAATACCACGCGATAAAATTACGCAAGTTTACCACAATTTGCGTGAGCGACGTGTGCAAGTAAGGAGAAGATTAACAAGTACGCAGAATAAACCAAACAACATGTAGTGAATTTTATCCACATTAAAAAGACCTAGTTTAAGTGTAAGTTGCTTCTTCACCGCAGTTGGGCTAAACCAGCCCATAACATAGAGGAGTATTAAATGCACTTAGCGAAAAATGCTACATTGGCGAGGGCTTTTCGAGTCCAAACTCGAACCGCAACAAAACAGTCAGTCTGATATGAATGGTGCGCAACACAATAAACGTTCATTTCCAAGAAGTGAACATCAAGACCAGACAAAGGCAGAAAGAATAGTAGAAGAAAAGTAAATTGGACCATCAGGTTCATTTGACTGGAGTACTCGTCATGTGAATTACTTCCGACATACATTAGTCATTTAGATTGCTACATACATTAAACAAATAAATAAAAATTATTCGACAATGCCATGTCCTGATTCCACTGGAAGTCAAAGCAAAACGAACTACTAGTTCATAGTGAGTTGTGAAGATACATCTATATATTTACATATGCACATCGAGTGAGAGAGAGAATGAGTGACGGAGTCAGAGAGTGAACCAAAGCCAGTTTTATCTCTTGGATCGCATCCAAAGCACTCTTTAACGGAAAGCGCGAAGTGAGAACCAAACATGTCTGAATAAAGAAAGTCTAGCACTTCACTTCAGCTACAGTCCAATTAATCGAAGTAACCGAGGTTGTTGCAGAACTAACCTGAGGATCAATTTGACATTGTGCGGTACAATTCACATGTACTCTGAAGGAAATATACAGTATGCTCTTAGCTGTTGTGAACGTTGCTTGTAGAATTCAGTAGTGGGGATATAGCTACTATCCGTACATTTGCACTTTCAACATTCTAGTCCCTGCTCTTGTATCTCTAGCTAAAAAACGCAACCAAGAACGCAACCCATACTAGAGCGAGTATTTACGGATTGTAGTCGCTTACAATAGCCTAAGTACGCTATCTGACTTGATGTGTGCAAGGGAAAATCAAGTTGAAACTAAACGATTGCGGTGCCAACACAATGAGTATGTAAAATGCTGGTCACATAAAGCTTCGAACTTTGTCATAGATCAACCATGGACATTAACAGAGCCTCCAGAGGTAACGGGATCTAGTTCTAAAATATCAACTCACTGTCGTACGCTCCTAAAATTTGTGACAAATCAGGTCTCCTAAGCACCAGTGAATGAGTTTCACACATAAGCTGCTCAAACCGTACCCTGAATTCGAACCCAAAGTCGAAGCAGCCAGGAGTGCTACGCCTACCCTCTCAGAATGCGGAACTGTAACACATGTTAGAAGAGAGTGATAGCCGGAGACAGCATAACAGTTCCTTCAAACAGCATAATATTTGCACCAATAAAAGCAATGTGCAAGAAGTTAGAACAACCAAATGGCGTAGGTTAGCGTCAGCGTGATGAAGTCATTACGATCAATAACGGATTCCCAGCAAAATCAATGTGTGATGAACAAGATGCACAGTTGAATGCATATAGAACGGTGTTCTGTGCAGCATTCCGGTGAGGAGTTTGACACCTGTGGCACCTTCCACGTGGCATCACTAGAAGCGCGTGTTTTGTGAACAATTTACCACCCAACCGGCAGGATTTCATACCTCTCACTGGGCCGTGTGCATACTAACGGGCCATGTTTTGAACAAAATGGTGTGAACTACACGATCAAACCTGAACGCGTGGACGCAGTTGGCGAAGGCGCGAAATGCAAAGTACGACGGCAGAACCGAACAATGAACAATGATTTATCACGGGTGAAAAAGTATATGCTCAACAAATCCTGTAGGATGCATGCAGTGAAAAGAAAAATTACCAGTAACCAAGGTCATCCTCACGCACGCATGACGTGCGTGCTACTGGTTCATTTGGATTATTTCCCTCTATCCTCTCTCCATCTTCTCGCAGCGTTGTCACTGTACGCTCATTCGAACCGGATTTACCAGCTCTACACAGTGATCCATTATACGTGGAAATATCTTCTACGATTAGAGGCTGTGCGTCACTAAGCGTTTTCACTGGCATCTGTGATTAAGCGCAAGCGTTTAATTCAATCGTATTGAGCCGATTGTCTTTCTGTGTGACACCATTCGATACATAATTCTCGAGGCAAGTCGAAAATCCTAAGCTTCCTCCGATTCAGTGTTTCTCAACACAGCTCTGAAAGAATCTGTGTTCAGCGCTCTGTTCAGGTTCCAGTCACTCGCCATTCCTTGTGACCTTGTCAGCCAGTGCGGCTGCATTACCCATCACACTGACCGCGCGACCACGCCGACCGCTCATTTGACCTTGCAACCACCACGCTCGCCTGACCGATGTACGACGCTCTCAAATCTGTAAAAGTACAGAACGCTAAGCAACCCACTGGGTCAGGTAACGAGACCGAATTGAATGGCAGAAACGCGAAACCGAAGAAACTCCAAGCGAAAGGCATTTGCGGGTTAGGAGAATTACATCGGGTAGTAAAAATCGGTCTGGCTTGTTCGCTCTGTTGGTACCATACGGAATGTGCAATTGTGTCCCAACAACAGTTACGGGAGCGAAATAGCTCCCAAGATGCATTTTGGTTCTGTACTGCGTGTTCCACCATCCCCCTCGTTAAGTGCTTGCTTATCCTAGCTGAGAAATGCGACCGGTTAATCGCAGAAGCAGAGCAGAGGATAAACAATAAACTTACTTCAATGGGATCGAGTATGGACCACAGAAGCGTAGCGGCTGCTAAGCAACGGAATGCTGAAATATCCGCTTCCTCTGCACCGCAATCAGCCACGTCTCCATCTCCGTTGTCTTCTCCAACTTTGGTAGAACGCCGGGCGAAAACAGACTGTACCTACGTGAATCAAGCAGTACTCACAGCAAAGAAAATCAGGCACCATTCAAAACGTCTGGTTAAGCAAATTCCACTAGACCTGACATCTAGTATTACCAAGGATGGAGCAGCCAAACACCAACCCTTGATACCTGTAGCTCAAATATCTCTTGTCGAGACTAAGCCTCCCAGAACATCCGTTACATATGCAGAGATTGCTGCAAGGGTCCACCGAGAGGCCGCCGTTGCGTCCTCTTCCATTGTAAACATCGTTAACGCAAATGGAGAGAAAAACAGCAAACAATCACTTATCAACAAGTCAAGACAAATGAGCACCATACCTTGTAGATCGATTAAAAAGGGCTCCAACAACAGTGCCCGGACTGTTGTATGCTCAAATGTTCCTGAATCTACCGCCATCACATTGCGGGATTAGTTATCAGACGACCAAGACCAATGGAACTCATTGTGTATGCAGATGAGTATCAAATCCCAGCCCGTAAACTTGTTACGAATTACCCGTCATCCGAACTCGCCACACTATGGTGAACCCAGACTTATTCGAGTAACTCTAGAATCCTCAACCGACGTAGAGAACATTTTGCTCTCCGCAAGCGCGCTAAAACACGAATCCTGTGCGATACGTATCTACCCTGATGTCCCTTGGAGCGCGCGACAATCAAAAAGAAACATCGAAGAGGGGCACAGCAAGCAAGACCGCCTAAACACAGTCTTC